AATTAGATGGGAAATACGACGAGTGTTTTTATAGTCATAATAAGTCAATTGTTAGAATGTTGTGATGTGCTTGAATGGAAATAGAATTTTAAGATTATTTATTATCCTCTTCTGATTTGACCGGCGGTAATAATATCTTCCATATTTCTGGTATTTGCATTGAGTCACTTCTGTTGCATGTATTGGGTGTAGACTCGATGAAGAAGGATTCCGTAATCAACCTCTCTCTCCACCTACCTATATTACTTTTTAGAATTTTAACCCTATCCCACCCTATTGTGTGGTTGTTTGTTAATGCGCGAAGTGCAATAGCTGAGCTTTTTTCTAAATTACTTATCTTTTCAGGGTCAATCATTTTTCCCTTAGCTAAATTCCTCTGTTCTGATAATCTGACTATCCCTGACCTACTAGTTTGACCTATGTAGTTGACTTCACAGTCATTGCAGGGTATTTTGTAAATTATATTATTTTGTCTAATTGGGTCCAACGGGTTCTTCAACCTACAAAGTTTTTCTCTGAGTGAGTTTGTGGGTTTGAATGCCACCCTAATTCCTGCTTTATTGAGAATCCTACGTAGGGCCTCAGATGTCCCCTCCTTATATGGTATAACAGTAGAAGACTTATATTCTCTCTTATTTATGTTATCACTACTAGTTACACAATTATTTCTATTTTGTTATTGACCTTTACTGATCTTCTTAATGAATTTTATAGGATAGTTATTTAACACCAACGCTTCTTCTATCTGTTTTATTTCGTCATTAAATTAAACAATTAAACAAAATAATATAATTTACAAAATACCCTGCAATGACTGTGAAGTCAACTACATAGGTCAAACTAGTAGGTCAGGGATAGTCAGATTATCAGAACAGAGGAATTTAGCTAAGGGAAAAATGATTGACCCTGAAAAGATAAGTAATTTAGAAAAAAGCTCAGCTATTGCACTTCGCGCATTAACAAACAACCACACAATAGGGTGGGATAGGGTTAAAATTCTAAAAAGTAATATAGGTAGGTGGAGAGAGAGGTTGATTACGGAATCCTTCTTCATCGAGTCTACACCCAATACATTCAACAGAAGTGACTCAATGCAAATACCAGAAATATGGAAGATATTATTACCGCCGGTCAAATCAGAAGAGGATAATAAATAATCTTAAAATTCTATTTCCATTCAAGCACATCATGACATTCTAACAATTGACTTATTATGACTATAAAAACACTCGTCGTATTTCCCATCTAATTGTAATGGATTAATAACACTCGTACTATTATTTCTGAATGTACATTATCTCATATTGAATTTTATTCCAATATCTAATTGATTCCACACATGTATATAAATGAAGGAAAGAAGTTGTGTGAGTAACTTGATATGATTATGAGCAATAGTTTGTGCTCGAAACGTCATCAGTTAATATAACTGTACAACACTGTGTGATTTATCAAAATAAAATCTTATCCATTATGGAATTATACTCTACCGCAGTGCCCAAGTTTTATACTTATATCAATCATGTAACGAACTCAAGGACCAACGCGTTGCCTGGGAAGTAGTTGATATATTCCTCCTAGATGAAGACGCTGACAAAATGCAGTCTTGTAAACACGTCGGGCTGACAGACTGACTGGTTTTAGAATAGAACTTTGCACACATGTGCAGCAGTTTGAGTCGCCACACTCAATGTAGCACACAAAGCAAGAGAAGAGAGTAAAGAAAGATTCAAAAGAGATATAATAAACACAGGTATGAGGCAAAAAGAATAGTAATATGGAAGAACAATAGAATTTTATTGCACATTATAAATCATAAAGAGTGAATGCATCTGCGCCATTGAGAACAACTTGGAACCATATCACCAACTGTCTCCAGACACTGGTTTTTACCATCCCGAGAACTCCAACCAGGAAGTTTGCACCTTCCTAAGTGGCTTAAACTAACTGTTGTGGATTTCACTGACTGCTGACACAATGTTTTGGTTAGACCACCACTAGCTCCTTCCCAACCTGATCTTATTTCAGCTAACATTGCCCGTCGAAGAAGGAGACGTCTAGACATACGTAACACATGCCCTAACCATCTCAATCGACGTAACTTCACAACCTCGTTGATTGATTTTCCCTCCTTACCTAACACGACGCCTGACCTCAATATTACTCACCATATTATGCCACTTCACAAGGGAGACAGAACGCAGACACTTATGAGCAGAAATCTGTGTCTGGCATGCGATTCAGTCTTGTCAAATACAAGATGATAGTGAAAGATTGCTATTCACCGACTCCGAGTTTAAGGATGGAGAGTGAAGTGGTTTAGACTGTTGACCACTTCGCTCAATTGGGAAGTTGCTCTAATGCTAATGGACTAATTGCTGACAAAATCTCACAACAGATACAAAAGGCCCGTGTGCGTCTGCCACCTTACGTTATATTTGGGGTACGTGTGATAACCTGTTATAGATCAAGCACGTGTGTAATGAGCAGCAGTTCGCTCTGTCTTTCTGTAAGGTTGTGAGATATGGCGATTAAAAGTGAGATATGTGAAAAGGCTATTTGTCTTAGATCACACACGTTAACTAGTTGGTTTAACATGGTGAGTACTTCTGTTATGCGCGGGGGGGGGGGGGGAATTCGGTCGATGGCGTTGTGAAGCTATATCGACTGAGGTGGCTAGAACATGTGCTGAGCGTTCCAAGCCGGAGTATATCTGGATGAACAAGGTTAGCTTACATAGGATAAGGTTTGAAACTAGTTACAGGTGACGAAACCAAAAGTTGGCATCAGTCCATAAAGTCTGTGGGTGTTGATCTTTGCCACGTAGGGAGCTGAAGACTGCCTAGTAGAGACCTTCGGAATGCCAAGAACCAATGGCTTCAGACTTGGTGAAATGGCTCAAAACAATCACAATGGCACAGATGTATTCATTCGTTATATTTGACTACATCTATCATAATTTTACTACTCTCGATGTAACTATTCATTTTTACATGCATTCTTGTTTGCAACAGTTCCCCTGAATTTGTACTTCTGCGTGTTATATGGGGTGTGACAATCTAAACTGTGCAAGCTTCGACGGTGGGAACGCAGTCAGTCAGACCAGCTCGATGTACAGATTTTGACTATGTATGCATTAGTCAAATGAACAACCAATCAAATCTTACTACATTCATAAAGGCCTATTAATCGGTCCGTGTGGCTGCATAATACACTATACATGCTTGTATTAGCATTATTATTATACTTGTAAACATTATATTTCACTGGCTTGTTTGAAATACATATGCCAGTATTATAGTGAGTCTTAAAAATAACATTTCGGATCAAGAAATTGTCAAGCGCTCAAATGTGTTAACCTTATTTATCTGAAGGTTTAGTGAACATTCAGTTGACAACTTCGAATAGAACTGGTTGTTTTGAAGAACTAAGACTCCCTGAATTTTACCTGTCTAAGATTTTTTTTGCCTTGTTCACCCAAATTTGGCAAAGTGCACCCTAAGTATTTTCCATCGGGAGAATGTCCCTCTTTTCAAGTTCGCACATCCATTTATCCATGTATCATAGCTAGTGGCAAAGTGAAAGAATATTAATCTACTGTCTGTTAGATGACTGCACTCCATTAAGGCGTCAGGATGCATAGCTCCAACAACATAGGGGCAGCCATAAAGAATAGTAACCAAACTCAGAAAATTCACGTAAGAAAAACATTACAGACGATTTAATTAGTTGAAATGAACCTAGTCACGAAAGCAATCTCTAAGATGCTGCATAATGCAGGTCCCAGTAAACGGTTACCACATCTAGCGTCAGTCGGTGAACACTTACCTAACCCTAAATATAACCTACCAATGACCCTTATCATAATTTAACCCTAAACTTAATACTAGCTGCTATCCCAAACCTAACCCTTAATTAATCCTCATATTAACCTAGCAGTTATTTTATACCTAACCAAAAGTGCAGGGCACATTGTGACTAGAACACATACTCAACGAGGAACAATGTGATGGGTTCTTCAAGGTCACTTGACAGGCTATTGACTTTAATCGCGATTCTTCATATTTACTGTCGTGACTGGATTTGGTAACCATTTTTCAGTAATTAATGCCATCTTCAGACGCCGACCTCAATGATTTCCTTATGTGATAGCAAAGTCACCCCAGATATGCATCCATTATCTGGGGCAGCTAATAAAATGACGTGGATCAGCGGGCTAGCAAAGAACTGTTTGTTTAATGGTAGACCGAGGAACAAGTACACTGGTAATCCACAATAGATAGTTCACTAAATTATTATAGGAGAGCAGCCAAACAAAACAATTACAATTACCATGAATCAAAAGTTATTAAGAAGTTTATTTGCTTTAAGGCAAAGTTTATTCCGAATTCCAACTTCAACGATAGGGTTCAATTAGCAATGTTACGTACATTTAAACGGTACAAAGTGCTGATAAACATATATGTTGTACACCGACCACGTTACAAAATGCGTAAGGGGTGAAGTATACACAGCAGATGCTCAAACATTCGGTTTTCACAAGAGATGAATAGCAAAGTTACTTTAAGCATCTGACGAGAACTGTAGGAGAGTGTTCTTGCGTTCTCCACACGGTTCCTTCTCTGTGAAATCCAAAGTCCAAATAAATTTAAATCCAGATTCAGATAATAATGATAGTACGCCATTGTTGCCTATGTTAATCCTTGCAATATATATATGCAGAGATCTAATTTCCCCTCCACATGGGATTTCTGTAATCATGATCCATTAATTAGTTCGACAATGATGTGGTTTTTAACTGTGTATGAACAGGAAATATCGATATTTCCAGTGACATGTCACTGCAGGAACCCGCTGCTGATCACCACCGTAGACATGGTAATTTAACGCATGTTTATGCACAGAGTAGATACCGTGTTAGTGTTTTTAAAGCACAACAATGATGCAAACAACAGAAGATGCGATCCATGGACGACACCGAGGCTCTAGAAATAACCTACCAAGTGGACCACAAGTAACGCACACGTTAAATACTGCGTGTATTCAATTCAGACTGAAATTTGTTGACTGAAGATACAAGGCTTGAAGCCTGTGTTAATCCTTTCATAGTACATTTCTGTGCTTGTCCAAACCTTTCTTCAAAGAGTCAGTTAAGGATTCTGACACCACTTCTTCTGGGATTCAGTTTCAGGAGTTGATGACTAAGTGTGAGAACCAGTACCCCACGGCAACATGGTTTCTCCTCGGCTTCTGAACTCTCCTACTTTGTCCCCTAAGGTGCCTCAAAGTGATGAAATGGAAAAGATAGAACAGATCAGGTTCATAGTCATTATTTAAATTTTTGGACATTTTAATGAGTTGTCTCCGCTAGCGGTAGGACAGGGAGAAGAGATTCAAACTATTTAGTCTTTCCTCGTACGATGAATTAAGCATGTTAGAATCGCACTTTTTGCCTTCCTTTGAATCTTCTCCTCCTGAGACAAGGACTGTCTTCCTGGATATAGTTTTTCAGTCCTAACCTCATCAGAGGTGTAATGAAAGAGGTGAGCATGTCTCTTGTGATCCTAATTAAGGTTCTGCGAATCTCAGATGAAGGTCTGAAATTGCGTGCTGCCACCCGGCGGCGGTTTGCTGTAGTCTTTAGATGGTGACTTATTAGAACACATAAATCTAAGTGATTCTGAACTGATGTATGTAATTCTCCCTCTAGTTAGTAGGATCTGACGCTTGCTTGTCCAGTGAGATTGGTTGTGAGTTTCGCTACGTTGGTCGCGAACATCTCTGGACCACTCTAACAATTTGTTGAGATAGCCTTGCAACGTGAGCGTAACATACCCCCCCAAATTATTAAGTCATATGCATAAAGGACCATAGGGGAGTCAGTGAGCACAGATAACACATTGATATGCAAAATAAATAGAGGGGGCCCGACTACCGTGCCTTATGGCTCGTCATTACGTACTACTGTCTTGAAGGAGAGTTTTGAGTTGACCCTTATTCTGTCTCCGACCTATGCATAATTCCCTGATCGAATTTTGTAAGTTGCCTCTGATTCCAAGACTTCCCGACTTCGTGAGCAGTCTTTTATCAGATACTTCATCGAAGGCTTTTACAAGGTCCATGAAGACAACATGGGTGGGTCTTGTGTGGTCTCTTGACGTGACCTTGCAAAGCTTTCTTCATTATTCTCCCCAGTATCTTGACTAAGGAGCTGGTGAGTCTAATAAGTCTGTTATCCCAAGGTTTTTGTCTTGATCCTCCTTTGTGGATAGGGATTACTACGGCATCTTTCCAGTCACGATGTAACACCCAACTCAGGAGAGATAGTCTGAAGATCGCAGTCAGTGGGACGCTATGTGGACTGACAGCTCTTTGACAAACCTCACTTAAAGGTCATCAGGCACCACTGACTTCCCTGCACCTAGTAACTTTAGAGAATCGAATACCATTTCTCGGTCAGCGGTGGCGAGGTCTGTCCTGAATTCCTCTGATCCGCACAGAGCTGATGCTATGGGGAGTGACTACTTCTGGGTAAAGATTTGGAGAAGTAATTTGCCACTGCTTTGCCTTTAACTATTCCCCTTCGAATATGTCATTGTCAGGTTTGTGACCCCGCTGGATATCTTATACCTGAGGTTTATGTACGAGGAAATTTTCTTAGGTTGTGCCACTGCATTTTGAGCCATACACATTTGAAACTTTATCCATAGTTGGAGGATGTCTGCGACATCCTTTGTCCTAACGACAGTGTATAACTTTCTGGCCTCACACGTCTCAAGTGTGATAAATAGGCTCCAGCATGTGTGCCTATACCTGAGTAATTTATGAATCTCAGGGTATACCCATGATAGACAATGTTTTCGAGACTACGGGACGGACCACTCAATTAAGGGTTCAGTTACCTGGGCGTCAAGTAGCCTAAATTAGTTCCATGCAGCTACTGCGAGAGACTCTGCATCGATGTACAAGTTCAGTGATTTGGCCTCTGTGCTGATAACCTTCCTTAAACGCTTGGTCGAGCTGGGGTTTTGGCCCATGAAACTGGTTCTGTGAACTTGAAAATGAGCACAACGCAATCACTTTCTCCATAAGGAGGAAGATTTATGTGGTCCACACCCTCACTTTGGGAGAAAGCCAGATCCAAGTTTGAGGGGGAATGCTGTCAGTCATAGGGCATGTGCTTCTTGACATGTTAGGCTAGGGCTAGTGAAATACTAGATTCCAACAATTTATAGTCAAAGGAGCTTTCTGAAGTTGGTGTCATAAGACTCGTCACCTGCTGGAGCGTTGAAGTTGTCGACTACGAGATGCCGACAAATGGGTGTACATGAGCCTAGTTTCTCTAATAGGAAGTCGGGACTGCGGTGTATACCCATGAGGTAAATATCTTGGCCTCCACGTTCAAGTCTGCAGTGTAGAAGTTCACATGTTCCACTTTCGTGCGTAAGAGCTTAGCCGCTACCCACGGCTAGGCATTTCTTGAGATAGGTGACTACCCCATCCCCTTTTCGGCTTAGTCTGTCCACCGTGTGCAGTGAGAAGCTTGTTAGGCTGGCTTTGTTATCACTGTCATCAGATGTGGGCTAAGTTTCTGGAATGACAATGACATCCACGTTTCTGGAGTCTACCATTTTACCCAGTTCAGTCCATATGTTCAACAGACTGCAGACATTAGTGTAGCAAACCGTTAAATCATTTCGATGATTCCCTGCTCCATCTACAGACATTTCGGAATTACCGGACTTCAAATTTGTCCACTAAAACACTTTTAATTATAATGATTTCCTTGGAGTTTCAGCGCCGTTCACCCCGTTCTAGAGCCACAGACTGTCTTTTAGTGCTGTCTGCCAGTCAAAAGTGAACAAAGACGCAGATGCCTGATCCTTTGGTAGTTTGACAGTTGCTTATGACAGCATACCTCCAGTCTTTGAGTTCAGCATGACCTTGAAAAGGCGTGCCGGCTGATTTACTTTGTAGTCAGCCTTTGGGCTGATTCAGTACAAGCTTTGTATAGTTGCCTCAGATAATGCTGTCGGCAATAACTTATCTGAGATTGAGTTCCTGATAGAACCTAGCCTTGGGATCTGAAGCTAGTGGTTCTTCCGCTTTGTTGAGAATAAGCGGCAGGTCGAGGAGATCAGGTTTGCTTGAAGCGGCTTTTCGCTTTGACGAGAAAGTGTCTTCCCATCCTTTGCCAACAGCACAGCTTCTATGGCATCTTTGTCTAGCTGTTTGCGGGAAACTACGTTGCACAATTCACTGGCGTCCTCTTCGCAATCTGTCGTTGTTTGTGACTGCCCTCTATCCACCTTAGTGGATGAAGCCGAATCTACAAATTCAAGGGTGACTTTGCGAGATTTTAATCCACGTCATATAGTTTAAGTAGCTTCTAAATTAATGAGGTCAGAGGCCTCTTCAAAGTGGACGAAGTTTCTACAGGGATTTGACTGCTATTCTGTGATCTGTTCAATTACGATGAGCAGTGCTGTGATGTGATTACCACAGGGTTAACTTTTCCTGAATCCTACTCATTCTGGGCGGGGTTTTGATCTAATATAATATGTATTTCCTATCTATGTAGGACACACAGTTGTACAGGCATGGATAAGTATTATTTAAATTACATGAATTTGATTTATAGTGAAATTACATGGTTACTGTCCTCTCTGACATCATTTAGTGAGTACATTCTGAAAGTTAATCGTTCAATGGAGCACATAAAGAAATATAGAAACATTGTCTTCGCATTAACAAAAAAACCCAAGTATGTGTCGGATAAATTACAAATATTTGGGGAAAAAATAAAGCTTGAAGTCAATTCCTCCATATAGCTTTGTTGTGTGCGGCATCTTATCTTGTTTTATGTTCAAATTGGGTATTAATTTAAAATGAGTGATTTATTTTTATGATTTCGGCATCATTTTCATTGCAAGTAATACCAGATGTGAATTCAACTGAATGCAGATTAATATTGGTCATTGTCAAGCAGATTTGTTTTACTGCACCCAAGTCACCCATAACCCGCCATTTGTCACTGCATGGATGCTCTGTACGAGTAAGTTGATAAACACATCGAAGTCTATATAAAAGCTATTTTAGATCGTTGACAGTGCTTGTATAAGATGCTGTACAGCGTCTTGTTATGGTGACAGCGGATTTCATCAAGGATGCTGAGCCATTACTGGCCAAACCTTGAGGGATGATATATGAGTAAGTGACTTCAATTGTTTCTCAGCTTCAGTCGGAATGTAGATCAATGCAACTTGTACGCGTACTACAGAGCGTTTGTATTCTCTTCAGAATACTTTGCTTGATGTTGACAGCGGCCGAAGTTTCCCTTCTTTGCCAGATTGACAACGTAGTTGTAATTCCAGCTCTTGGGTATACTTCCTTCCTTTCAAAGCTATCTCAGCAGTGGCATTAGCATATCCGTTGTATCTGTCCCCAGTGCCTCAGGAGGGAATCCATCCGGTCCAGTTGATTTCCTGGCTGGCATTCAATAGCATGATCGAGCTAAAGATTTCTGCTTTTGTTGAAGGATTGCTGTCCACTGGCCTTTCTGTGCTTGCTGTTGGTAGTATCGCCGTGGTGTGATACGGAAAATGTGTTCCAGTGGATTATAATTCTCATATATTCCCACTGTTCCATACTGCGTTAACAACAGAGTGCTACATGAATTTTGGCATTCTATTTCATGTCGTTTAATGTAAACCGAAATCACATGCTCAGTGACTGGTTAAAGAATATAAACTGTATATATATGCATAAATAGCGGTTTGGTCAATTGAAAATATACGTTTGCTTCCGTGTCTTGCCTTCTGTAATTACAGTATTTCTGGTCGAGTTGCAGATGACAGTTGAGCCAAGAGTCCTTTGAATTGGTCAACCCATTGTTTTATTCGTCTTTCCTCCTTGCTAATTACGTTCTCTTGGCCAATTTTATTGGTTTCATCTTACTATTAGTGATCTCTGCTCATATCGGACGTTTCGTTTGCGTTGATTTTTTCCGCGACAGACACCTGGTTATCTGAAACAACATCCTGAGGTCTCTTACACCGGTGGCTTGTTCTACTTCAGTTACTAGCCAGTGTGCTGTAGAGACTTATTTAAGGTGAAAAAGGAGTTAAACACAGGGGTCAAAGTGAGCTAAATACGTAGAAAAAAAGCAGGGGCTTAATATCTGCTATTTTTCTGGTATTTACAGTTAGGTGTCTTTCTGAAGTAGCGAACTCATACCATTAACTTGCATTCAGGGAGATATTTAAACTCCGGCTTCTAGACATCGATGGCACAGTGGTTAGGACTCTCGCCGACCATGCACATGGTCCGGGGTTCGAACCCCTGCCGACGCACACCCGATATCTATGGTCGGCGTGCAAAATTTGGGCTACTGATATCCATGCTGAAAATGCCATACTTGTACTGAAAATACGGTGCGGCATCAAGCTGTAATCAAAATAAAAAATAAAATAAACTTCTATCTTTTAGTTATTCATTTATTTTGCGGAATTTATTCAAACTCACGAGCCTTAGCAACACAGTGCTGTCCCACAGACAAGGGTAGTTCTCACATGTACCCACCGCCATACCCGCTGAATAGCAATCATCACACTCACCTTCTAATTTGCGAGGCCCTGGCGAAATACCTCTTTTTTAATTTCTATTATTATATACTCCACAGACCTTTTAAGTTTGTTTGTCATATCATTCAAAGTCATGGTGTAGACGACTTCTTTTAAAAGACCGTCATGTATGTCTCATCTGCTACAGCATTTTGAAGAAAAATAGTAAAAATGTAAGGAAATTGGGTCATTGTCTGCCTTTTAGATATAAATAAATGAAAAGGCGAAAAACACTGCATAATGGTGCAGCATTATATATAAACGGCGGTCAGTTATAATATATGGTTCAGAAAATTTGGCCTCACAGGATTATTATATGTGTAAAACTTGGGCACTGTGGTAGTAAGTAATTCCATATTAGTTTGTTTATTTGATATATCACACAGTGAAACAGTATTATTTACTGGGTGACGTTTCGAAAAAATTTATTGTTCATAATCATAATCACAATCAAATAAACAAACTAAGATGGAATTACCCACAGGATTATAGTTATAAAACAGTATGATAAGATTCGTTAATATTTAAGACTCACCATGTAGTTGATTATTTAGACTATCACCATTTGGGCTGCAGTTTGCGTAGAGGCAGACATTACTTACGCGCATCACTAGGCAGACCCCAGAGAAATTTTAATACCAGTCTTCTACAGGCGATTTACTACTGGAACTTGAGACGAAACTCCTGGCGCACTGAAATGCCCATAATATACTCTTATCAGAGATATATGTAAAAATTTGATGAAACAAATGATTAAAAAACTGAATGTGAATGGGTGACTTGGGCTGTGAGAACAGTCATATTGAAAGTAGAGTTAAAGTTGTAATACATGGATTTTGGTTACTAACAGCGAGGCTCAGAAGACTGCCTTGTAAGATCTCTGATATCTAGTCTGTCACATACTGCTTCCAACCCGTTGTGAATAAAATATTTTTCCAGCAACCCTCTTGTCGGAGAAAGACATCCCCTATCCTCCCAAGACGGCTGTACACGTTTACCTGAACACAACCCTCGTAGAGCTCCAGTGTTGGCTATGAGACCACATCTGACCCTTTTCTCGACTTTTTCTCCGGTAGACTGCGGCTCCGCTTTCTTCAGATTGAGATGAAATCCATCTGGCTTTTGCTTAGTCTACCACGCGAAATCCATGCTGCCTTGCGCATAAAATCACGTTTGAACATTCTAACCCCAATCGTCGAATCATTAGGCGCACGGAATTCCGCGAAGATGTCTCCATTTTCATTCATTTCGCTGAAAGCCTCTTGACGCCTAATGAATTCTCTTCGGGTATTGCCCGCTGCTAATTTAGCATTCGCATCTCCTACGAGGACTTTGACGTCGCTCAATTTGATGGTACTTGTGGTGTTTTTTACGTAATGGTTGACCCAAGGGTCCTTTGAAGTGTCGAAATATTGTGTACTCTTTTCACGTCTTCGGTAGTTAGCTTCACTTCACTGTCTCTCACTGGCTTCATTTGTGTTGATTTCTTAGGAGGTAGCGATGTGGTCATGTTCATAAGTGTTATGAGGTCTTTCTTACTTGCAGCTTGCTCTTACCCGGTTGATGGTGCATCATAAAACTATTTTTTATCTCTTCTAGAATTCTTCTTCACCCCCTTTTAAGTACATTGTAGGTTGTAGACAGCTTTTTCTTTCTTCTTTTATCTTCAGTTCTAGCATCCACCTCTCCTCTATTGGCTTCCAGGTATTCGTAGAGAGCTTTCTCTTCCGCTTTGTAAGCAAATCATTTTTCGAGAGCAGTTAGAGAACGCAATATTTATCTCATAAAAAAATTTTAACGCAAAATTTATTCAAAGAGCATGCAACAAAGATAAACCATCTTTAAATCACTGCAGAAACTAACTAAAACGTTACACTTATCGAGGTGTGCAATACAGTCACCCGGGACTTTTTAGCGTCTAGGTATATAAGGTTCCTTGTCTCAAGCCACCTATGTAAGTTGTCAAAATAACTGTGGCCCCACCGAAACTTGCAGTCCATCCGTTGTCATCTAGGAAGTCCATTATATGTCATACATACTGTCGAGAAATAATAGTCTGACGCCATTACTTGAGAGTGGTTAATTGGTGGCACTTTGTGTACTGATATCATTGGAGTTCGCGATCTGTGGGATTCAAACAACCTATCAATTTGTCATCATAAATAAATCTCATCAAACATTGATGAAGAAAATTACAACCGGGACGCTACTGTCGAATGAAGATTTAAGTGAGATGTAGCAGTAGAGACTTTATGAGAAACAGGAAGGACTTAAAAATGTTTGATTTGCTGAAGATAGGCATTATTGTATGTAGCTCAACGGACTTTAGAGTATCCGTTAAACATGAAGTTTGGCTTGAATAGTGTGTGAACGAAGATATCCATTGAAATCACTGGGCACTAGAAGACGACTATACGATTTCGAGTTCAGTGAAGTCAATGCCATACATAAGCATGCATCTCAAAGATATGTTGCAGAAGAGTGTCTTCCTGAAGAAGCCAGTATTCACTGAGTCAGTGCCTATGATAACAAACGATTAGCTCACACCTGAATGCAAACGCATCAACAGATACTTGGAGTTTCATTGTAGCCTTAGCATTCTCAGGACGGAGGGTAGTAGATTACTTGTCAATTGAAAAATAGTTATACAAGCCGCCAGTGATTTAGAGGTAGTTAAGAAATAGACTTTTTTATTAAAATACTCCTTCAAATTACCGACCGACAGTTCGTATTATTGTAGAAGGCTAATCGTGTTTCTGAGCCTCCGCTTTCTTAAGCATGGCAGAGGGCAACCGAGGCGAGGAAAACTTGGTCAAACAAACGGAGGGGGCATTCATCTTTCAGTAGGTAGAGAAGGCCCTACGGCCCATAAGGAAGATATGGTCCCCACTTAGTTACTTGTCCTAATCTTGTGAACTTTTCAATTACTTATCACACCTGATTGCCCATTACATGCCGTAGTTCAAATCACAAGGCGCCTGAAAAGTTGTCCATGAAAGGTGTTGACATAACGTCCGAAGTGCCAAAATAATTTGTATATTTAATTTGGGTATTTAAGGAGTGTTTGCGCTCTGCAATGGTAGACAACAACACTGAAGACTGACTTCGTGTAGCGGAACTGGCGAAGACCTGAAAAGTTAGCGCGAGATGTGCAAATCTATCATGAAATTTACAATAATTATCCAATTCTGTACCTATGAATACTTCCAAAATAATTAAGAAACTGTTTGATACTTTTTTCCAGCAAATAGACGGAGATATGAAGCTTTGTGGAAGGCGCAGTTATTATTAGACATTTAGAAAGGCTCTGATATTCTGAGGTACACGATACAATACCATTTAATCGTATATAAAGAAGGTCCTAATAACCAGGTCCCACATCAGATAATAACGAATAGAATGACCAATAGCACGTATAATACCAGAAGACAACAGTCGGTGTCGAACGTGTGAGAAGAGGTAGCTCAGTCTAGCACATGTATTGTTCATTGCAGTTCAATAGAGTGAATAAGTCACGGAATGTATAATAATGGCACAACTCCTTTTGTTACTCCTCTCCCCGAACCGTGTGTATGGCTGGTAAGCGTCCTAACCGCTGTTCCACCGACATACGCTGGTGCTGACAATGTGTTATCTTATAATAGTAATGTATATTTCGTATAAACGTGTGGTTTTACAAGAAATGCATGCCATTTTTACAGGCACGATCAGTAATGTTATAAATTACAATCCTGAAGTATCATAAATTAATACTTTTTCAAAAGTTCAAATTGCTCAATTATTGTACAAGAAATCAGAACAGGTTCTTATAAATGTTAAATTGTAAACCGTTTACTAAGGTCGCCATCAGAGTTGGGCGACAACCCAAACTTCGTTCTGTTTTCCGCCGATAGTTATGGTCAACCAGTAAACAGCGTATATCTGGGTGAGTGCACAGCTGCAAAATGGTATAAAATGCAGTTATGAATAATACATTATTGGAAGTATATTTACAAGATAAATACAAGAAAAAGCTATGAAGTACTTGAAACGATAGTATACATTTGCCATGTTTAATGCTAACCATATTGGTCTAAGCATTGAAACTATGATGCTTTCGATGAAAATATAGCTTTGTTCAAACATTGGTGCTGTTGTGTTTTTTAATCAAAGCAACAAGACTTTGGGCAAGCAACAAATATGAACAAAGAGCAAGTTTTAGCTTTAATAAAGGCCTAGGTAACTAAGATAAGATAGAATATAATAGTGCGTAAATAAACAGATCATCATGAGGTAGGTAATTGACATTTAAGTGAGGAGTGAATTCAAAGATCTGGAAAATTAGAGCCAGTAGGACAACCTGACCTGTAGGATGTCTCACGGATTTCTGTAGGGCACAATGGGTAGCATCTTGACAAGAAGCTGAACAGGCTTGTAGATGGTAGGAGCAAAAACACTTTTTCATAATTTAGACCTGTACAACCCCTATTATTTTTTCGTCTTTTCGTTGAGGGTTCAGACTAATTCCTAATTCTCGAGCTGTCAAAAAATGCATGTTGCTGTCCTACAGATCGGAGCGATTCACATTTGTGACCATTACCATATCTGCTTATCAGCATGCGCCACCCTCCCTCCTTTTTGATGTTAAGCTCTGAAATTTCTTTTGCAATAACTGTGGTTGCAGCATTGCATTGCTTTGAGCCCGTCCCAAGCATACATTATGCTGTACATTAATAGCTTTCATGACAAGTGCTTCCCATTAGGTCAGATACATCGATACCTGAGGACATTCTTAACAGTATCACCTTTATACTTGCATACAAGTATTTGTTACAAACGCCTAGGAAATTGCGTTTAGAAGTATAAAGTATAGAAGTAGCTAGTATTACAGCAATTAAGTTATAGTCTATTTAGCAGAGTAAAATGGGTAGGGGAACGATTAGTGATAAAATTATGTGGAATGATTCCGAAGAAAACAGCTGGTTAACAGAACTAGTTGTGCTAAATTTCCATGACCGATTTTTGTATGGTGTATCTCAGACATTGCAAAGTAACCCTTCAACTTATATAATGTTAAAAATACTGCGAAAAGTAAATGAGAAAAGATAGTTATTGACTGAGTAAAGTCATTTCGATACAAAAAGTAGCATTGAATTATCAACTGTATATACATATGTAAAATATTAAAAAGTATTAGGTGGTTGGAGGCAATCGGCAGGAAGCCTTGGACCTAGGTTTCGTGCTAGTTGGCACTCGTCAGCAAGGCGTATCTGCAACCTTGAAGGAACTCATGTCCCTTCTGAGATTCGAACCCGCGTCACCCGGTGCTGCAGTCAGAGACGTTACCACTGAGCTATTCGGGCTCGCGATTGACCTCCTGTAGGACTGTAGTAGATATTTTGATTTGACACTATGAACTAGTGTTATGCGTCTAGTCCTCTCTTTACATTACAACCTGACTGATAGAATTCAGTCTTCACCAAAGAGAGGACTAGACGCATAACACTAGTTCATAGTGTCAAATCAAAATATTAAAAAGTATGGTTGCTAATATAATTATTTCCAGAGTTAATTACAACAACACAACCTAGTGAAGATTATAGAGAACAGAAAATCAGTAAATTAGTTA